TTATTCCATATGTGTTATGTCATAGTTCTGATGTCTTTACTATTATTCTACAATGTAGAAAATAGTAAAAATAAAGAAAAACCCTTGAATGAGTAGGTGTGTCCAAACTTTTGACTGGTACTGTATCTGGTTGACTTCAGATCTGCAAACACTCTAGGGATAGTGGCTAGGGATTGTTTTGACACTCTTAACCATATCACCAACTCTTTTGGTAATTTCAGTCCAAATCTGAGTCCATGGAAGCATTGTCTAGATGACACTAATGAAAGAACTGGACAGGTGAAATCAAATTTTCCGTAGATACAGTTGAAGTCGGAAGTTTACATACACTTAGGTTGGAGTCATTAAAACTTGTTTTTCAACCACTCCACACATTTCTTGTTAACAAACTATAGTTTTGGCATGTCGTTTAGGACATCTACTTTGTGCATGACACAAGTAATTTTTCCAACAATTGTTTACAGACAGATTATTTCACTTACAATTCACAATATCACAATTCCAGTGAGTCAGAAGTTTACATACACTAAGTTAACTGTGCCTTTAAACAGCTAGGAAAATTCCAGAAAATTATGTAATGGCTTTAGAAGCTTCTGATAGGCTAATTGACATCATTTGAGTCAATTGGAGGTGTACCTGTGGATGTATTTCAAGGCCTACCTTCAAACTCAGTGCATCTTTGCTTGACATCATGGGGAAATCAAAAGAAATCAGCCAAGACCTCAGAAAGAAAATTGTAGACCTCCACAAGTCTGGTTCATCATTGGGAGCAATTTCCAAACGCCTGAAGGTACCACGTTCATCTTTACAAACAATAGTATGCAAGTATAAACACCATGGGACCACGCAGCCGTCATACAGCTCAGGAAGGAGACGCGTTCTGTCTCCTAGAGATGAACGTACTTTGGTGCGAAAAGTGCAAATCAATCCCAGAACAACAGCAAAGGACCTTGTGAAGATGCTGGAGGAAACAGGTACAACAGTATCTATATCCACAGTACAACAAGTCCTATATTGACATAACCTGAAAGGCCGCTCAGCAAGGAAGAAGCCACTGCTCCAAAACCGCCATAAAAAAGCCAGACTACGGTTTGCAACTGCACATGGGGACAAAGATCGTACTTTTTGGAGAAATGTCCTCTGGTCTGATGAAACAAAGATAGAACTGTTTGGCCATAATGACCATCGTTATGCTTGGAGGAAAAAGGGGGGGCTTGCAAGCCGAAGAACACCATCCCAACCGTGAAGCACGGGGGTGGCAGCATCATGCTGTGGGGGTGCTTTACTGCAGGAGGGACTGGTGCACTTCACAAAATAGATGGCATCATGAGGATATATTGAAGCAACATCTCAAGACATCAGTCAGGAAGTTAAAGCTTGGTCGCAAATGGGTCTTCCAAATGGACAATGACCCCAAGCATACTTCCAAAGTTGTGGCAAAATGGCTTAAGGACAACAAAGTCAAGGTATTGGAGTGGCCATCACAAAGCCCTGACCTCAATCCTATAGAAAATGAGTGGGAAGAACTGAAAAAGTGTGTGCGAGCAAGGAGGCCTACAAACCTGATGCAGTTACACCAGCTCTGTCAGGAGGACTGAGCCAAAATTCACCCAACTTATTGTGGGAAGCTTGTGGAAGGCTACCCGAAACGTTTGTCCCAAGTTAAACAATTTAAAGGCAATGCTACCAAATACTAATTGAGTGTATGTAAACTTCTGACCCACTGGGAATGTGATGAAATAAATAAAAGCTGAAATAAATCATTCTCTCTACTATTATTCTGACATTTCACATTCTTAAAATATGGTGGTGATCCTAACTGACCTAAGACAGGGAATTTTTACTAGGATTAAATGTCAGGAATTGTGAAAAACTGAGTTTAAATGTATTTGGCTAAGGTGTATGTAAACTTCCGACTTCAACTGCATCTAGTTACCATATTGATTTCTCTTATCCTATGTGTTCATATCAGTAGAGACCACTTTAGACTGTTGTTATGTACTCTGTATCCGATTCATTTACATGAACAAGAAAATAATTGCCATTCAATGACCTTTTTAAATATGTGAATAAATGGAAAATCCATTCCTATACTCACCATCACTTAGCTGGTTTTGTTGCATGGCTTGATTGTTTCTTTTTTACATTTTTACACTTTTAGTATCTTTGACGTAATCAATTTGAGTTTATAGCAGCCTCAGTTGCACTTCTGTAGATGGTGGTTGTTGTTTTTATTGTGAATCTACCTCTAATATAATTCAAGTGTATATTATGCTTTCTCTTAAGCCATTCGATTTTCTGCCCCAAACATTACATAGAGGAAATGTTGTAGGCCTATCATATTATCCATGATACCAACTTTGATAAGCAGTTTTTCAACAGTTTTGAAAATAAACATTGAAGTATTGTCATCAGTTTTGATATAATGTACTTTGCTTGATCTCTGTCAATTGCATCAATGTGAATGTATACAGTATATATTTGTACGGATATCTGTAATAATATTTTACACTTGGGTGATTTCTATGTTACTTATTGAGGTAAATTGGGGTTGTTAGACTTTCTTTTTCTTTTTTCAAAACAATATTGGGTAACAAATATTTATTTTCAGTGTTAGCTCTAGTGTTTCTTAACTGAACATATGTTGGTACTAGTGCCCTGTTATTTTACCACAAGTCACTCAAGGCTGAAATATGTGAAATGTTGATATCATTGGGGCTGTGGTATGTTTCTGTACATATTGACAAAAGGATGTCGCATAGGCTACTGTATTACATGATATGTTTTCCCCCAATGTTGTTGGTTGTTTAAGAGTGTTGTGAGTGTTTTCAGACCATGCAAGGATTGAATGTACACTACCGGTCAAAAGTTTTAGAACACCTACTCATTCAAGGGTTTTTCTATATTTTTACTATTTTCTACATTGTAGAATAATAGTGAAGACATCAAAACTATGAAATAACACATATGGAATCATGTAGTAACCAAAAAAGTGTTAAACAAATCAAAATATATTTTATATTAGAGTTTCTTCAAATAGCCACCCTTTGCCTTGATGACAGCTTTGCACACACTTGGCATTCTCTCAACCAGCTTCATGAGGTAGTCACCTGGAATGCATTTCAATTAACAGGTGTGCCTTCTTAAAAAGTAATTTGTGGAATTTCTTTCCTTCTTAATGCGTTTGAGTTGTGTTGTGACAAGGTAGGGTTGGTATACAGAAGATATTAAAAGAAAAACCCTTGAATGAGTAGGTGTTCTAAAACTTTTGACCAGTAGTGTACATTTGGTCCATTTGTAGAATATGAGCAGGGAGATGTAAATAGATTTCTTGACTTATAACTAAAGTGCTCACTAGATATTCCCTTTCCTTGATGCTGTAATCTTACATGGTCATTTCTCATTTGTGCCTCTTGTTTTACGTATTAAATAGTTTATTTATGTTTTCGTGAGATGGTTTACATTTTGATTGCTTTTGGGAACTGTCATTATCAGTATTTTGATGGAAGAATATGACAGTCGCAACAAATAAATGTCTCAGGAATTGACAGCAATTGTGTGAATCTGTAGGTTGATAAGTGTGGTTGAGAGAGACAGAAGCCCTGTTTATACCTGGTGGTTTTGTGCTCACATTTGTAGATGATCAAAACACACATTCTGATCTGATTGTTTTCAGATCTTCCTGATCACCAACGGAGGTAGTCAGGCATGCAGTGTCTGGATATCTCACAAGTGTAGACAGATCTAAGACCATTTAAAGCATCATTATCCTTCCTTGACTGCTGGCACCATTGACTTACGACAGACATATGTGTCTTAAAATAAATAAATATTATTTTGGAAGAATATCTGTCAAAATATTTGCATACAGGGAGGGACTAGGAAATCTGGTCACAATCCAGACACAGTGGAGGGATAAGAGACACATTTTACTACCATGTGTAGACGCATATCTGGAAATGTGGGAACAATCAGAATGTGGACAAGATCAGGACCAAGGATGCATGTTAGCGCCAGGTATAAATGAGGCTATTCAGACAGCGAGAGATTCCCCAGGAGATTCCTGTTCTCTTTTGGTTGATCTGAGGTGATAGTGTGATAGCATGGCTATATTCCTAACGCACAGAAAATGGCTACCCCTGGTGGAGAATCTCCTTCTGTTTTTGTCCCTGATTCACCATGGATTCTTGCTCCGACCAGTCTAAACTGCAGTACTGAACACTTGCAGTGCATTCCAGCTGACTTCACACTTACAGTACTGCCTCTCATCGAGTAAAACCTCCCCATTGTTGCCAGTTATGTGGTCAAAACCTCTAGGTAGTGATATGGTGTCAAGCTGTCTTAGCTGAAATTAATGAACTGTCAAATGGAGTGCCAGAGCAGCTTTGGGTGTCTCAAACAGTGTTGAGCCAGAAGCTCAATGATTTGGGAAGCATTAAATCACCTTTTATCTGGGAGGGAAGATGCTTGGCACCTCAACATCAAACAGAGTGCATCCACCCAGAGCCAGTAAACAGAAGCAGCGTGTGGTTTCAACCTCTCTGGGCAACTCAGTTTTGTTCCAAACTATTCATACAGCAGTTATTCTGCTTGTTTTATACCAGTGACTGTGATAACTGTACCTATAAGAGAAATCATAGGGTAACCTACTTGAACCAATGTATACAAAACATTAATATCCATATTTAGAAGGTGTTCCTAATGTTTGGTATACTCTGTGTATTTAATCACACGGACACTCCCAGAGTAACCCATTGTGGCCTGTGTAGTCCAGCAGTTAAAGCCTCTGACCCCGGCACACATGTATGTCGGCATAGGTTTGAATCTGGCCCACTGCCCTTTGACTTACCCTCCCCCAGTCTTTACTATCTCTTCAATAAAGCAAAAAAAGTACAAAAATATACCTTAAAAAAATAAAGAACCCACTGACCTATAATACTGGTTTTTGAAGAATGAGCCTAGGCTGCAATAAGACACAATGAGGAGGAAAATATAACTCTTTCTGGTTAATTTATTTATAAAATATCCACTTTAGATGTGTTTAAACAAACAGTGCATTTTTCTACATAACATTGTGTTTCAGGCGAGAACAAGCCATCTATGAAGTTGAACAGCCATACATAGATGGTGAAGACCGGTTTCTCGGAATAAAGAGTAATCAGAAATACTTGGCAAATACTTTGGCATAGTTAGCGACAGTGTGTAAAAGACATTTAGCTATATATCAAAACCTCTCATGGACTCTGCAATGTATGGCGATGACAACTCAGCCACTACACTCTCCCAGGCAGATAGATAGTGACACGAGACGACTGGAGAGTCAGCAAGCTTGGCTGAGTTAGGACGAGAAGCCGCTGGAAGTTTACTTGGCCTGCAATGACAAGAAAGATAGTTCAGTTAAATAAATCTTTATTGTCCCCAAAGGGCAATTTAAGTGCAACATAAATGTCAGAAACTGTAAGTTTATGCGGAGACAATACAGTACAATATTAAACAGCTGTCACCTATGACAGTAATCATCCTCCTGTGGTAACAGCAACCTCACAATCATTCCACATGGAGGGCATCCCACACATCCTTTTTGTCCTGAGAGAGAAAAGTGTGGAAAATCATTGTCTATGGAGACATAAATCAGGGAGAAACGTCTACAGCACACTTTTCAATAACGCTATCATTACCACTATCTAATAAAGCCGTTTGGATGTACAGGCTGGATTCAATCACTCCCACCATAGGAATGTTTATGTAGTATACGTAACTGCAATGTGCATTAGATTGAATTGAGCCCTATGTGTATAAACACAGTGCATATTTCCCACCTCCGACATGACTGGCAGGTTGCCATGAGGGTGGAGCCACATGGTCCTATGTGCTTTGGTCCTCTGCCTCTGGAGCAGCTTCCTCAGTAACCTCTTGACCCTTCTGTCTCTGGGGTCAGCACACTTCACCGCCTTCTTGGTGTACAGTCTGCAGCCACAACAGATAAAGAACATTCACCACACCAACTTTCCAACTGAAACATTCAGAACATACTGTAGATATGCAGCATGGTTTCAATAAAGCCTTCTCTGAACCAAAGCTTCAACAAAGTTGGCTAGTGAGGCATCTTTTTCTTTATGGCTTGTTATTCCCACCTATTTCCTTCCTCACATCCCTGGCAATTACAGTAGAATCTGAGCCATAACAACATGACCTGGATAGATGACAATGCCTCACAGCTGTGAGAGGAATATGTTCTATGTCTGCGAGTTGCTTGGGGATAGTTGGAATACTTGCATGATGGCTTGTATGCTGCAGTCTGGCCCCTCTGTCTGCACTTCAAACCTCAGCACGTCTTTGGTGCGCACTTTCCCATGGGAGTACTGCATACAGCACTGAACGTCTCTCTGCATCTGTACCCCCTTACCTGAGAGAGAAAGGGGGGAGAGAGAGAAAGTGAGGGGGAGAGAGACATACCCTTATGTCAGACTCGTCAAAGCACACTTACAGTATATGAAGGCTGATCGCTAAGGAGGGTTGTTATGATAGAAATTAGCTCAAATGGCAAATATTTTAGTAGGAATGCAACGCATATCATTGCACTATTCTATACAGTTTAGTTGGACTATGTAAGGTTAATATGTAATATTTTGTGCAGACAGAGTCAGGAGTATTACACACCCCCTATACACACTAGAATGCCAGAGGAATTAGCTAGATCATCCCATGATCCCCAACAATGTACTGTTATGCCAGTGGCACTGTGACTACATGACAAGCCTTTTTGTCCAATCAGAGCGAGTAAACACAATAACATTAGCCGAGATAACAGTTACCATATGCATGTCATATAAAAGCTGCTCTGAACCTTGTCATATATTATCATTGACATCATCTATCACTTTTCCCATGAAAGTCTATGAGGTATTCAGTTAGCTTGTTATTAGGTATTCAGTTAGCTTGTTATTAGGTATTCAGTTAGCTTGTTATTAGGTATTCAGTTAGCTTGTTAGTTTTGAAATCATTGTCTTCCTGCATTCTAGCCCTCTGTTTACATCCATGACTCTCCCTGCTGCTGCTCCAGTATTGGCTCTCTTCCCCTTTCCTCTAGCTTAATCTCCTTCGCCATCGCTTCCCTGCTAAACTGGCTCCCAGCAGGGTGCATACTGCTGACGGTATAGTGTAGGTGTTATTGTGTCTTACCTTCCACTGCGTCCAGGAGAACGACAGTCAGAGAAATAACAGTCACAGTCTGCAGCAGAAACATGGTGAGCCTGACAGGGAAGTTATCCGCTGTGTTACCTTCCCCTCTATTGCCGTGTGTCTTATATTTCTCCCTCCCTCCCTCCTTTTCACTCCCCCTCCCTCTCACTCCCTCTCTCCCTCAAACACACACACACTCTACCCCTCCTCTCTCCAGCTCCCTCCCTCCCTCCTTTTCACTCCCCCTCCCTCTCACTCCCTCTCTCCCTCAAACACACACACACTCTACCCCTCCTCTCTCCAGCTCCCTCCCTCCCTCCTTTTCACTCCCCCTCCCTCTCACTCACTCTCTCCCTCAAACACACACACACACTCTACCCCTCCTCTCTCCAGCTCCCTCCCTCCCTCCTTTTCACTCCCCCTCCCTCTCACTCACTCTCTCCCTCAAACACACACACACTCTACCCCTCCTCTCTCCAGCTCCCTCCCTCTCTCTCCCCTATCCTCCGAGTGCCCCACTCACTATGTTCATTTCTGTCTTTCCCACTCTTCAAAAGGTGCTTTCCCAAATAAAGCTCTTAAAATAATCCAGATTTATGGCATTCTCTAATGCAGTCATGTAAAGTGCTCTTCCTTGTTGTAGGTGTGTCCCACTAGTCTTGCTGCTATGTTATGACCCACTGCTCGAGCACAATACACCAGTGGAGGCTGCTGAAGGGAGGACAGCTCATAATAATGGCTGGAACGGAGCGAATGAAATGGCATCAAACACCTGGAAACCATGTGTTTGATGTATTTGATACCATTCCACTAATTCCTCTCCAGTCATTACCACGAACCCGTTCTCCCCAATTAAGGTGCCACCAACCTCCTTTGCAATACAGGGAACACCAAAGCTTGTCACACACTACATTTATAAGACAGATGTTACAGTGTACTGCACAGGAGGTTGGTGGCACCTTAATTGGGGAGAACGGGCTCGTGGTAATGACTGGAGAGGAATTAGTGGAATGGTATCAAATACATCAAACATGGCTTCCATGTGTTTGATGCCATTCGTTCCGTTGCAGCCATTATTATGAGCCGTCCTCCCCTCAGCAGCCTCCACTGGTGTACTGTAATACATTCATGTGGTTTTCATCCATGCAAATGACTAAGGCATCAGTAGTACCGACATGGTTCAAAACACAAGAAAGTTACATGCAGCCTGTTTCCAAAACCAACCACCAGCATATGCATGAAGGCTTTAGCCTATCTGTGGTTCAAGCATCAACAATTCACATTATTAAAGAGCGAGTTGAACCAACAGCAGCACGATGTGATTACAAGGAGAAAATGCAGGTATTAGTTGTGTCTGCTCCTGTTATGGTATTCATTTAAACTAAGTTGTGCTGAAAGATGTTAAAAGCAGATGTCAATTGTCAGACGATGACATAAAACGGCAACCAGCTCTCCACCATTAGAAAGATCACAAGATTATGATAATTTTGAACATTGGCGCTGATCTGCCAGACTAAAGTACAGCTGTACATTATAGTTTGCATATTCCATACAGTCTGAACTGTGACAGACTTTGTATAGAAGCTTAATTCTAACATCCTCAGTACAACACCTACACCTTAGAACCTTGTCAAGAGGTTTGGACCTCTCTTGGTGTAATGGCAAAGGTCTTGGACTGACAAATGCAAGTCCCAGAAGGTTACCCCATGAATTTACATTTGGTGTCAGAAGTGGGATGCATGGTGCTGCCCACGAGGGCATCCAAAGTGTAAGAAAATAGGTTGGCAAGTGCATTACTTAATTGCCTTTAGGACCAGTGTGGGACAAGCACCCAAACTCACCACTATAACTAAATATAAAATGTCAAATATAAAATGGCTTATGTTTGAGGAAATGGATACAAAGTCAACGCTGGTTGGCGGTTGAGGATTGATTGACCCGGAGACCCAGAGTGGTGGTTTTGGGAAGAGACCGTTTGCTTTGGCAGGTTAGGTGTCATTAGAACCCAGCTGACGCTCCCTACAATGTCAGAAACCTCCCTTCTAACCAAGCAATGAAACTATTGCAGAATTACAGCACGTTCTCTAATGCCTTTGGTATTCAATTAAATAAACAAGGTTGAAAAAAGAAGTGGAAGGAATGCTATAAAAATCTTTGACTGTTACATAAAATAAATGCAAAGTTAAAACTGAACAAATGAAATATAACCGCCTGAAAAACAAACAAAAACAGGAAAACGCAAATAACCTTTTGGACAGGAAAACCCAAATAACCTTAGTCTTTTAATGACGAGACTGAATACCCGCTGTTTAATGTACCTTAGAATAAATGCTTCCAGTGAATACAAGTAAGTGTTAAGCTATTAACTACTACAAATCTTGTTTGTATTTTACAGCAGTAGCTACTGTAAATATATTGCTCCATTTAATTATGCTGTTGTACAAAGGAATAATACACACCTGGAGAGAATTGCAACATCGATGAATAGATAATGTGGTAAAACACACCGTAAAGAATACAGGGTAAATTATGTTTTAAATCCCTGCTGAATGGTGGGATTTAGGTAGTGGCATTTATTAGGACGACAAGGCCACAGCGTAATCCCTACTATGTGACTGTGATCATACCTGAGCCCTGGAAGTGAAACTATGCAGTCTGTTGAGGGGGTGAGGTGGGTAGAGGAGAGGAATTCAACCCTTAAGAAATCAGATTTGGAATCTTTCAGCTGCAAAAACATACCTTCCCCATTACTCCAGTCTGCTCCTGAGCCAAACACATTTCACGCATATCTTTGGGGCGATTAATAGATCATTGTAATAGTATAGACACAAACATGCCAAAGGTTAAATTTTTTATTTTTTTAAAACTATGAAGTCATGGACTAAACAAGTGTTCCTCTTTGAGGAGGTAGGAGGAGGGATAAGTATGTCCTGGGGATGTTGTAGGGCAAGGCTAACTATACCTGTGGTCCAGGCCAGGGCTGTTTAACCCAAAAGGGTGTCAAGTTAGGTTTCTGGGGGCAAATCTGTGTCCAATTTTGAGATTTATAATTTATCAAGCACATAACATTTGGTATGGAATGTCTGGAACAGTGTGAATGAATGGGGGATTATAGTCATTTTAGGACATTGTCTTCTCTACAACTTCAATCACATTTATCAGCTTTATACCCTAATTTAAAGGTGTTTCACCATTTTTTAAATGTTCTGATCTTGTAAAAAGCATGAGTTGACACAACCCCCAAAAAGTTGGGGAGGTATCGATTTATGGAATAGTAAACTTTAGAAAAAATTAATCAAGTCATACAGTGGGGAGAACAAGTATTTGATACACTGCCGATTTTGCAGGTTTTCCTACTTACAAAGCATGTAGAGGTCTGTCATTTTTATCATAGGTACACTTCAACTGTGAGAGACGGAATCTAAAACAAAAATCCAGAAAATCACATTGTATGATTTTTAAGTAATTAATTTGCATTTTATTGCATGACATAAGTTTTTGATACATCAGAAAAGCAGAACTTAATATTTGGTACAGAAACCTTTGTTTGCAATTACAGAGATCATACGTTTCCTGACCAGGTTTGCACACACTGCAGCAGGGATTTTGGCCCACTCCTCCTTACAGACCTTCTCCAGATCATTCAGGTTTCGGGGCTGTCGCTGGGCAATACGGACTTTCAGCTCCCTCCAAAGATTTTCTATTGGGTTCAGGTCTGGAGACTGGCTAGGCCACTCCAGGACCTTGAGATGCTTCTTACAGAGCCACTCCTTAGTTGCCCTGGCTGTGTGTTTCGGGTCGTTGTCATGCTGGAAGACCCAGCCACGACCCATCTTCAATGCTCTTACTGAGGGAAGGAGGTTGTTGGCCAAGATCTCGCGATACATGGCCCCATCCATCCTCCCCTCAATACGGTGCAGTCGTCCTGTCCCCTTTGCAGAAAAGCATCCCCAAAGAATGATGTTTCCACCTCCATGCTTCACGGTTGGGATGGTGTTCTTGGGGTTGTACTCATCCTTCTTCTTCCTCCAAACACGGCGAGTGGAGTTTAGACCAAAAAGCTCTATTTTTGTCTCATCAGACCACATGACCTTCTCCCATTCCTCTTCTGGATCATCCAGATGGTCATTGGCAAACTTCAGACGGGCCTGGACATGCGCTGGCTTGAGCAGGGGGACCTTGCGTGCTCTGCAGGATTTTAATCCATGACGGCGTAGTGTGTTACTAATGGTTTTCTTTGAGACAGTGGTCCCAGCTCTCTTCAGGTCATTGACCAGGTCTTGCCGTGTAGTTCTGAGCTGATCCCTCACCTTCCTCATGATCATTGATGCCCCACGAGGTGAGATCTTGCATGGAGCCCCAGACCGAGGGTGATTGACCGTCATCTTGAACTTCTTCCATTTTCTAATAATTGCGCCAATAGTTGTTGCCTTCTCACCAAGCTGCTTGCCTATTGTCCTGTAGCCCATCCCAGCCTTGTGCAGGTCTACAATTTTATCCCTGATGTCCTTACACAGCTCTTTGGTCTTGGCCATTGTGGAGAGGTTGGAGTCTGTTTGATTGAGTGTGTGGACAGGTGTCTTTTATACAGGTAACGAGTTCAAACAGGTGCAGTTAATACAGGTAATGAGTGGAGAACTGGAGGGCTTCTTAAAGAAAAACTAACAGGTCTGTGAGAGCCGGAATTCTTACTGGTTGGTAGGTGATCAAATAATTATGTCATGCAATAAAATGCAAATTAATTACTTACAAATAATACAATGTGATTTTCTGGATTTTTGATTTAGATTCCGTCTCTCACAGTTGAAGTGTACCTATGATAAAAATTACAGACCTCTACATGCTTTGTAAGTAGGAAAACCTGCAAAATCGGCAGTGTATCAAATACTTGTTCTCCCCACTGTATATTCTATATATGCTCACAATCATTTGAAATGGGTGTAAAACACCAATGCTTCTTCATGGTTACGTAATGAATGCTTGAATGTTCTGATCTTGACAAAAGTCTAGGTGGAACTATCTTACTTTATATTAGAGAGATCCCTAATGGAATTTCCTTATTTACTGTGGAAATAAAATTACGTCCGTCCATGCAACATGTTGTGATTATATTTTATTATAGCCAGGGCACTACATGTTCTATGCTGCCTGGCATTCTTCTGGTGGGATTAGACTGAAAACCTTTGAGGCAGTCCTCAAACTAACATCTGTGGTTCACACAGGTTTGTCTTCATTTACTGTAACACTAAACCAGAACGTGTTTGGTTAAACATACAAATCAATTATTTAAAATCATTGCAACACTCAATGGTCTTGACAGTGCTTAAAGTGGGGAAACTGAACACTTTTCCGAAATGGATGTGTAACAAAAACTGCAAAAGAAAAACACATTTTTGTCATTCGAGAAGTTAGGGGACATTGTAATAAATAATCCTCCCAAGTTTACTGGTGCCAAAAGGTGCTAGAAAATAAATTACAATGACATTAAATTACTGAGTTTCTCAGAAATACTGAAAAATAAGCAAGGGATGAGTTACATCCATCAGATTTGATATGTGTTGAATGAAAAGTGTGTAATTGTTAATTAGAAATAATTTGATGGGTCATCATAAAAAAGAGTGGGAATTAATTACAGTGGGGAGAAAAAGTATTTGATACACTGCCGATTTTGCAGGTTTTCCTACTTACAAAGCATGTAGAGGTCTGTAATTTTTATCATCGGTACACTTCAACTGTGAGAGACGGAATCTAAAACAAAAATCCAGAAAATCACATTGTATGATTTTTAAGTAATTAATTTGCATTTTATTGCATGACATAAGTATTTGATCACCTACCAACCAGTAAGAATTCCGGCTCTCACAGACCTGTTAGTTTTTCTTTAAGAAGCCCTCCTGTTCTCCACTCATTACCTGTATTAACTGCACCTGTTTGAACTCGTTACCTGTATAAAAGACACCTGTCCACACACTCAATCAAACAGACTCCAACCTCTCCACAATGGCCAAGACCAGAGAGCTGTGTAAGGACATCAGGGATAAAATTGTAGACCTGCACAAGGCTGGGATGGGCTACAGGACAATAGGCAAGCAGCTTGGTGAGAAGGCAATAACTGTTGGCGCAATTATTAGAAAATGGAAGAAGCTCAAGATGACGGTCAATCACCCTCGGTCTGGGGCTCCATGCAAGATCTCACCTCGTGGGGCATCAATGATCATGAGGAAGGTGAGGGATCAGTCCAGAACTACACGGAAGGACCTGGTCAATGACCTGAAGAGAGCTGGGACCACAGTCTCAAAGAAAACCATTAGTAACACACTACGCCGTCATGGATTAAAAATCCTGCAGCGCATGCATGGTCCCCCTGCACAAGCCAGCGCATGTCCAGGCCCGTCTGAAGTTTGCCAATGACCATCTGGATGATCCAGAGGAGGAATGGGAGAAGGTCATGTGGTCTGATGAGACAAAAATAGAGCTTTTTGGTCTAAATTCCACTCGCCGTGTTTGGAGGAAGAAGAAGGATGAGTACAACCCCAAGAACACCATCCCAACCGTGAAGCATGGAGGTGGAAAGGGGACAGGACGACTGCACCGTATTGAGGGGAGGATGGATGGGGCCATGTATCGCGAGATCTTGGCCAACAACCTCCTTCCCTCAGTAAGAGCATTGAAGATGGATCGTGGCTGGGTCTTCCAGCATGACAACGACCCAAAACACACAGCCAGGGCAACTAAGGAGTGGCTCCGTAAGAAGCATCTCAAGGTCCTGGAGTGGCCTAGCCAGTCTCCAGACCTGAACCCAATAGAAAATCTTTGGAGGGAGCTGAAAGTCCGTATTGCCCAGCGACAGCCCCGAAACCTGAAGGATCTGGAGAAGGTATGGAGAAGTGGGCCATTATCCCTGCTGCAGTGTGTGCAAACCTGGTCAAGACCTACAGGAAACGTATTATCTCTGTAATTGCAAACAAAGGTTTCTGTACCAAATATTAAGTTCTGCTTTTCTGATGTATCAAAAACTTATGTCATGCAATAAAATGCAAATTAATTACTTACAAATCATCCAATGTGATTTTCTGGATTTTTGTTTTAGATTCCGTCTCTCACAGTTGAAGTGTACCTATGATAAAAATGACAGACCTCTACATGCTTTGTAAGTAGGAAAACCTGCAAAATCGGCAGTGTATCAAATACTTGTTCTCCCCACTGTATATTGTTCTGCAGCAATAGTCTATCATGGGAGGTGGGCTAAACTGCACTCAACCCATTATTCTGTTGATACACTAAAGCAAATATATTCAGGAACGCACAAGGAGCACATAAAATGTTGTGTATTTTTTGTCCAGCCTTGATTTTCTCCAGATACATTTCATTTGCCATAGCCCCAGACCACCAGCACAGCCACTTTCCCTGGCATGTGTGTCTGTCCTGGCGTGAGCCGTCATAATCTTCAGAAAAGCTCATATTATGCTTTTTTGATTATGGACCTGTCCTGCAGCTCAAGTCCCTCTCTCTAGCCCGATAGTTTATAGAAACAGCAAAACAAACAGGATATAATGGTATGATACGTAAATATAGTCTAAGCTCCGAACCTGCAGACAGAGTAATAGACATTAGGAAAGGAAATGCCCAACGTCTTTACCCTTAGGCCGCAAAATATAGACCTGGTCATTTGCTAGACCCCCTGTAAAGCATTGTGTCTGCTAGAGGTTTTAGATGATTTTGGCTGGATAGAATTTGATGTCTCGTACTTTTCATTTTATTAAAATGTTAAGTCAATATTCTCCTCACATTGGAAACTGGCACAGTGTAGCTGTTGCCTAAACAGCTGGACACTATGGAATACTAAATGAAGATGGATGTATTTCTGACATCTTTTGAAAAAAATGACATTTCCCAATAAAGCTTTCTTGAATAAAACGACAATTATTAGATTTACAAACATTTGTATGATTTATTTAACATAACTCAAATTATTAACAAAAACAAAAAAATGGCTCCTTACATACAAGACTAACTGAGGGAGGATCATCACTGATGTCAGTATATACTGTACATGTTCAGGAAGGGAACTACTTGTGACCAGTACCAAAACCTCAGTGATGTCACTTCAAAAGCAAGACAGGTCAGTCTGTCTTCCAAATGCCTCTGATCCTTGAACTGCCTTCTTTCTTCTGAGAGTGTTTAGGCATCTAGAGTGCCTTTAAAAACATAGAGAAAAAAAAGATACTGTCAAACATACTATACAAATCTATTAATATATATACACAAATCTATTAATAATATATATATATATATATATATATATATATATATATATATATATATATATATATATATATATATATACACACACACACTGAGTTTATAAAACATTAAGAACACCTTCCTGATATTGTGTTGCATTATGGGGTATTGTGTGTAGATGGGTGAGAAAACAACAATGAAATATGGAATATGTCAAGGGGTATGAATACTTTCTGAAGACACCTTGTGTGTGTGTGTGTGTGTGTCTATCACACTGTGTACAAGACATTAGGAACACCTGCTCTTTCCATGACATAGACTGACCAGGTGAATCCAGGTGAAGCCTATGATTCCTTATTGTAGATGAAGGGGAGGAGACAGGTTAAAGAAGGATTTCTAAGCCTTAAGACATGGATTGTGTATGTGTGCCATTCAGAGGGTGAATGGGCAAGACAAAATATGTAAGTGCATTTGAACAGGGTATGGTAGAAGGTGCCAGGCGCACTGGTTTGAGTGCTTCAAGAACTGCAACGCTGCTGGGTTTTTCACGCTCAACAGCTTCCCGTGTGTATCAAGAATGGTCCACCACCCAATGACGTCCAGCCAACTTGACACAACTGAGTGAAGCATTGAAGTCAACATGAGCCAGCATCCCTGTGGAACGTTTTCAACATCTTGTAGTGTCCATGCCCTGACGAATTGAGGCTGTTATATATAAATTACTATATATCTACTTTGGATTGTTATTTCTTGATTTCTTGTTTTGATTATTAGTATTTTATTTGCAAGACATTCTACTGCACTGTTGGAGCTAGTAACATAAGCATTTTTGCTGTACCTGCTATAACACCTGCAGATATGAGTACGCGACCCATAAACTTTTATTTGATTTATTACCGATTCAGTATTGCCAATTAATCAGGCTAATTCATCACAGCAGGATCATTCAATTCCAAAAATTGATTAGCAATCTGACAAGGATAGAAATATGGTACAGGTTTAGTAAAGAAGCATGCTTGGACGAGAACTTACCTTCCAGAAAAGCAAACTCATCTATGGCCTCGATTGCATTGTCTGTTAGTGGAAACAAACAAACAAAATAGTTAGGAACAACTAGTCAAAGGCTAGCCCAGGGGTAGGCAACGCTGTTCCAGGAGTGCCACAGGTACTGCTGGATTTTGTTCCAACTGGGCACCACACCTGACCAACTGAGCTAATTGATCAGTTCAGTGATGAATTCAACACACATGGTCTTCTAGGTCGTTTAATAAAAAAACATGAAGTGCCTGCGGCACTCCAGGACTAGGGTTGCCTACCCCTGGGCTAGCCTAAGTGGCCACCAATCCTGGTCTTGGTGAGTTAGGTCTATACCTGATTCAACTTATCAAGGTCTTAGGGCTGAGGTAGAACAAAAGCCTGCACACCAACTCAAATACTCCCAACAGTACACATTTTTGCTGTAGCTGCAGACAAACACCTGATTCAAGACCTCAATCATTTGAATCAGGTATAGGCCTAATAAGTGTTTAGTACTGGGATGGAACTAAAGTCTGCAAACCCTGTGGCTCTCCAGAACCTACACTAAGCAATAAGCATATGGTATATAGGATCAATGTTTGGTGTACCGTATGTCCACTTGACATTACTAACCTAAATCTTTCCTCTGCAAAGTTTTCCTCTTTCCTTGATGGGCATACACCAGGGCATCTTTGGCAATCATCTCAACAAAAAGTTCCTGGAAGACATGAACTGAAGTTTAGTATACAGTGAGTAACATCCAGGGATGTAATGCTGCCGGAGCACGGAGGAATGGCGCTCCCTCACTTTTCAATTTTAGAATACACGGAGCTAGTAA